TTGAATAAGATGATCAATTTACATTATTCATTTTTATTTGGATTACGAACTCTTTTTATTGAAAACAGTCAAACTAGAAAGATTAAAAATTGGCATTTGTTCCCTACTCCCCCTTTTAAGGCAAGGCAAGTTTTGGTGCTCTTTTCAAATTTTCTTTTTTACGTCTCCTTTTCCTTGTTAGGAAGAAGTAATGTGGAAATGGGTTGAAGTGGGGTGGGGGTCTCAAATTCTGGCAATAAAGTCAGAAACAAATTCATTCAGGCACTCAACACTTGATCTTGATTTGTAAGATTTACCGAGTATGTGCCCACGAAAGAATTACCGAAGCAAAGGCCTCAAAGAATATGAAATTTAACTTTGACATTATCAGACTCATCTCCATTTATATTCAATCGCATGATACAAAATATTTTTATTATAAGAATGCACATATGTATAGAAAACATGAACTCATAAAAGTCGCATATATTGAGCAGCTCTAAAATCCAGCTGTTCAAGTCTTTCAAAGTTCAATTGCTAAATGGTAAGAAAAATATACGGGGTAATAGATTCAGTGAGTTGATGTTATTTGTCAATTTTCCTTTCATTTCTAGAGGACATTGTGGTAAAGAAAATTATTACAGCCCACGAGGATGCCAATAGGTTCAATTTTTTGTAACAGTTCAATGTCGCATACGCTTCTTGGGCTGAGAAATAGATACCGTATTTATATGTCTGTATTGATTTGGGCCTTTGTGGGCTAGTATGGGCTTTCGAATTATTTTGGAATGTAGGCCGATTGGCATTTCAAATCTGGGCTACAGCTTCGTAGCAGCCATAGGATATAGCAGCAATCCGGATCTGGGTTAGATAGGTCCTAATTGAACCCGTATAATAGTTCAGATACTAAAACATATTTTATAAGCTATAGTCTCGGTTGCACACAAATAAAAATGGGAACAAAATACATCCCGCGGTTTACTTGATCTGCGTCTTAAGGGGCCAAGTCGTAGACCCCAGGATTAGTCGTCGAATGTGGACACCTGGGTATTAAAAAAAAAATTTGGGAACAAAAGGCGGCAAAACACGACATGAATATAGTGTACAACAAATTTCGTGTCACAGTGCTCAACCGATCAATAATGTCTAGTATTCAATTTCTAAAATTCAAAACATTGAACTATTAATTGTGAATCAAATCAATGGCCAAAGCAGTTCGATCTAGTTCGAATAAAATATCCACCCCTCGATTTACCATATTACCCTTAGCCTTTGTACCCTTGGAAGATTGCATTGCAGGCTACATTCCAAAAGTATGGATAAAACTGAGTAGGGTGCACCCAATCGGACCGTCCTTGCTGGTCAAACCGTTCAAAGTTAGTCAAAGAAAGTCCTAGCTGGGGCCATAAAAAGCTGAAAAACCACAGTGATGTGGCATCCACGTTTTAAATGATGGATCAGAACAAAACTTTCATTTTCTCCCAAGCTTTAGTACATGTTTTAAGGTTTTTTTTTTTCCCAAAGCAAATCAATTTATTAGGGCATTCATCAAATCTTCTTGAATAAAAATTAGTAAACTCCTATTGACAAAGCTCTTTAAGATAACAAGTTGATGGAAACCATGGTTAAAAGTGGATAAAATGAATTTGATCAGCTTATAATTGAAAAAAAAAAGCTTTGTCAAATTTGTTGAGCCGAAGTTTCGAGAAATCTTGATTCCAAGCTCAGAAAAACCATCAAATGAACACAACAACCACTGAAGCTCGATCCAAAACCTCACCTTCACTTTGGTTGCCACAAGTCCTCTCAACCCCACAAAGGAGAAGGATGGTGGTAGTACTAGTAAGAATATGAAGACGAAGAAGCAACAATGGCAGACCAATTCTCCCCAATCCACCCCCTCCCCTCTATCTCTCTCTCTCTCTCGTTTTTGCCTTCACACTTTTGCACAATGCACACGGACACCCTTGATTTGGTATTAGGTCAACAAACAGGCCAACTAAACAAGTAATTGGGCCTCCAAATGGGCCAACACAAACCACAATAAGTGGACCAACACAAACCACATATAACCTCCAACCCAATAATCCAACTCAGTAACTTGGGCCATCCACAAATATAGGTTGTTTTCGGATTGAGCCAAGTCTATGTTGTCGATAAATTATTGGGAAAATTACATAAAACTAGGTACTTAAACTTCCAAATTCAAAATTCAGGTATAAAATTTATTAAATAAAAAAATCAGGTATTAATTGG